GGTTAATGCTAAGCGTTCTGGCACCCGTCGAGGTCTGTCTCTAGTATTCTGCCTGTGTCTAAGACGCTCATCAGTGTAGGAAAGGTATGTGATCAATTCCTCTAGCACATTGGGTAGGTCTCTAGTGGCAACTTCATCTAGGAGTTTATCTGAAAGCCCGTTCATGAATACGTCAATAAACGCTTGTTCATTCCATCTAACTTCGGCCGCATGGGTACGGAATTCTAGAGCGTAATCAACAAGAGAACGAGAACCCTGTCTCATACGTAGCAAGGTCTTGGCAGCATTACTTCTCCTCCCTGGAGGATCAAAAGCCCTCCTAAAAGCTGCGACAAATTCTACATAGTTAAACACTACCGGGTTATTGTTCTCCCACAGAGGATTTGCCCAAGTCAATGCCCTATCGACCAATAAAGTGATGATGTAACCTATCTTTGCCCTATCTGTAGGGTATGCTCTCGGATGAAGCTCAAAATAAATACTAACTTGATTCAAAAAACCTCGGCAGCCTTTAGGATCACCCCCGTAACGGAGAAGGGAGGTAGCATGATTAGGAGTACCCATAGTAACCATTTCCATGGGTTGTTCCTGAGGTCTGAGTACTGGGGTTTGCTCCTCCGGTTGGAGATGGGCAGTACGAGCAAGCAAGGTTTGTACCGCAATAGCGAACTGGTCCATGCAATGGTCCAGTTCCTCAAACCGGTCATCAGGTGCCGGCCCGAGAGGGTTAACACCTGCAGGGTCCATGGCCCTAGTGTAATGTCACGACAGTGACCAAAGTCACAACAGTGACCCCTTCACACAGCGTGAAACCCACAGAAAGACGGTTACCGGACCTTAGAATGGCCGGACTAGCGTCTGAGAATAGTCAAGAGAAATAGCCAGAGGTCAAGGGAATACGGAAGACGGGCACACGATTATCCAAGCCAAGATACGGGAAACCAGAACACAGAATAGTCAGAGAGATAGCCAAGGGTCAAATACCAGGAAGGACAAATAGAAAAGATAGAACCAGGGGACTTAAACAAGAACCACACTAGGGCATCTGACAAGTGTCACGATAGCCCTTTTATAGTGTGGGTTCTTTGGCTTTAATTTTGTAGCCACGCCCCCAAAAAGTCCGGGAGCGTGGCCACGTTTGAATTTTGGCACCATTTTTACTCTGACGTCGGCGCGCATGCGCCGCGTCATAAATGTGGGCGTGTTCCGAGCGGCTGGCGTCAAAATAGCTGAGCCGCCCCCCGGAAGGATCGGAGGAGGACCCGGCGCTGCGTGGGACCGGCGGGGAAAGGTAAGCGCTTGTTACAGTAAGAGGACATTAGTCTATATTGCCTCAACACACTGTGAAGAGGATGGTTTGAGTGGCCAAAATAGCTCCAAGAATCACAACTGGAGAATTGCAATTAGTTGAGTCTCGGGATCAGAAGGTTTCCAAAACTACAATCCAACGTCACCAATATCACCACAAGTTGTTTGAAAGGGCTTCATCCAAAGACAAACTCAAGCATCTTCAGTTTGCCAGACACTACTGGAAATATAGCTTTTTCACAATACACCAGAGGTGGGTTTGGCACACAGAGAGGTAGCCCTATGAAAAAGTACCTCATGCCCACAGTTATATATAATTTGGCTCCAATGTTTTGAGATTGATTTTCTGCCAAAGGATCTGGACATTTTGTTTGTTTATATGGCATCAAGCACTCTATCAAGTATCAACAGATATTAGATTATATCATGGCATCTTTTTAATTTTAGTTTAAAAATGATTTGCTTTTCAGGCACCCTTTAACTTCTTGTTGAAAGAAGAAGTGTGGGAAGAGGAGATATTTCTTTTAGAAATGAAAAAAAGTACTTTATTAAGAACAGAATAAGGGCCCCAAAGAACACCTGACTGCCTCTGTCAGATAGCTTAAAGTGGGTCGTGGTTGGATCTTCCAGCAGAACAATGATCCAAGACATTAATCAAAATCAACTCAAAAATGGTTTACTGACTGTGACAGAACCATCTGTCTGCTGGATTTTTGCCCGTTCGTCTGTTTGTCCCCGTTCGTATGAATGGCTGGTTTCTATAGCCCAGCCATTCGAATGACTCTTTTTCCCGAACAAATCTGCCGAACGAACGGCCACCCAAGTGAGGAGTGTGCTGCAGGTTAACGAAGTGATCACCATTATAACGTTGTGGTTAACCGCAGACACTTCTCAATTAAACCGAACTCAGGGTGGTCGTCGTTCGTATGTCGACCACGAGGCAGCGGCCATTTTAAATCATGCGAACGCCCAGCGGTGTTTGGCTCTATTTCTATGGAACTGAAAACGGACACTTTTTCTGCCGAACACCGCTGAAACAAGGGAACGCCTGGCTGCCTCCACGAAAGCATGCGAACACCGGCCGTTCGGGAGATTGAGAGCATACAAAAGACTTAACCCAGATAGCCCTCCCATGGAGTCATTCGTATACCGAAAGACTGTAAGAACTTTGACTCCATGGCGATTGAACTATGTGTGTGGGATCTGAGCGCTATTCGCTAATAATATGCACTCAGATCCAGGCTATCTGGGGACATGTAATACGAATGGGAAATGTTCAGTTTTCATGTAGTTATGCATTTTTATGTCTTTTATTATTTTATGTTTAAAATGGCGACTGTCCTTGTCCTGGAGTTAATTGAGTTACTTGGTAATTAACTCCAGGACAGAGGGGAGGGAATCAGAATGCACTGTGGGTAAGAGATGTGACTGTGTGTCAGAAATGTCCTTCTATCTGTCTGTAATTTAAGTCTTCCATTTGGTCCCCTAGGGGAGTGTCCACCAGGTGGGAGACCTGCATAAATACGGGCAGGTAGCCCACAGTAAAACCAGATCTTATTTGACCCTCAATGCGGAGCTTCTGTCTCGTTATTGGGGGGATTTCTTCTTCACGGTTAGAGACTGCTGGATGGAACTTAAGCCGCTTTGGGGATATTATTGTTCGACGGTTCATAGCAGTTCGTATATTGCCGTTCGGGAGTTTGGAGCCGTTCGTGGATTTCGATCGGGAGATTGGCGATTCCCCTGCATTTGGTTCGTGGGTTACAGAGTAAGCGAACAGAGACTGTACTGCAGCCGGGGAAGGTTTACTAAACGGCGGTTTGACTTAAAGACACGGGAGGTGTCTTAACAATTGGTGGCAAGCGACGGGATGAATCCTACAGCATTGGAGGTCAGCTACGAGACATGCAGTACGAGGAATTAAGGCGTGCTACACTTAAGGACATATTGGAACGCCGAGGAAGGTCAGCAAGCAATTTAAAGAAACGGGAGATTATTGCTTTGCTAATGGAGATGGATGCAGCAACGGGAATGGAAAGAGTCAACGTGCCCAGTACCTTGGATTTAACACCCGAGGAAATACAATTCAACCGGGCAGTACAAATAAGGCTGGCACATTTTGGCCCCAACCCCCAGCTGACATCGTGGTTCGTGTGCAGGCAGCAGTTGCAGCACAACAGGCGGCCCGGGAAAGAGGAGCTGCAGCAGCAGAGGTACCGTATGACAATAATGTGGTGGCCAGAAAGAAGGTACCTTTTGCTGCATTTAAAAATTTTGTGGAAACAGAGGGAGAGATTGATGGATTTTTGGCAGACTTTGAGAGGCAGTGTGCGCTACATCAGGTACCCGCAGATGAATGGGTCACCATCCTCTCTGGGAAATTATCTGGCCGGGCTAGTGAAGCTTTTCGGGCCATCCCAGAGGAGGAGATCACCAGCTACCGGGCTGTGAAAGAGGCGCTCCTAGCCAGGTATGCAGTGACCCCAGAGGCGTACAGGCGGAGGTTTAGAGAAACCAACAAGCTGGTTGGGGACTCTTATGTGGAATGGGCCTGCAGAGTCCATCGTACCGCAGCCCACTGGATGGCTGGATGCCAAGCGGTAACTGGGGAGGAGGTGTTACAAGTGTTCCTGCTGGAGCACTGCTTTGATAGACTACCTGCTGGGGTCCGGGAATGGGTCAGAGACAGAAAACCCTCTACCCTACCCGAGGCTGCCCGTCTGGCAGACGAATACACGGATGCCCGCAAGTTGGATGGTACAGCTGCTAAAGCCCCTGCCAGACTGGAGTATCGACCAGCAGTAACACCCGCTCCTGCAGTCTACCAACCCCCAGTACACCGTACCCCAGCCGCACCACCAGCTAACAATTATATGCAACCAGCCCGATTTAATGCCCGGGAGTACTCCCAACCCATCCGGTGCTATGGGTGCAAGCAGTTGGGACACAAGCGTCCTGAGTGCCCACTGAACAGTATCAACCAGGCTCAGTCCTGGAGGAGACCAGTTAATGGAAACCAGCGCCCACCTCAGCCTGCTGCTCACTGCCTAGAGCAGGAGGAATTTTGGGGCATTCTACACGAGGCAGACCCAGTGCAAGCAGCTCACCAGGATAATCGCCAGCAACATCGGCAAACTGTGAAGCTGAATGGCAGAGTGGTGAATGGGCTGAGAGACACAGGAGCCACGATGACACTGCTCCAAAAGAACTTAGTCTCAGAGCATCAGCACACTGGGGACACTGTGGCAGTAAGGGTAGCAGGGGGTGCCGTGTTTCGTTTACCTGTTGCCCGAGTACATTTGGATTGGGGAGTGGGCGCTAGGCATGTGGATGTGGGGGTGATGAAGGACTTGCCCGCAGATGTTCTTTTGGGAAACGATTTGGCCCCTTTGGTTTCAGCCTATGCTCCGATGGGCCCTGCAGACGTGAACCCAGTGACCACCCGTGCCCAGACCCGTGCTGCCGGAACCAGCCCACTTGCTGACGAGACCCAGGTAAGATCTCCTTCCCCGACTGGTACCCCAGATCAGGTTCCCTTAAGCTGGGATTCCCCAGAGGAGTTTGGGAGGGAAACCCGGGCAGATCCGACCCTCCAAAGATACAAGGACAGGGCAGATGCTGGGGAGGAAGGAATAGATGGGGAACGGTATGAGTGGGTGGGGGACAGGTTGTATAGGATCCCTAAACCTTCCCAGAAGAGTGTTGCCACTCCGCCGAATCGCCAGTTAGTGGTACCTGCAAAGTACCGGCAGGAGATTCTGCGGATAGGGCATGATGTTCCTTTAGCTGGACATCTAGGGTCCCGCCGCACAGCCTATAGGATTTCACAGAACTTCTTTTGGCCAAACTTTAACCAGGCTGTGCGGATGTACTGCAGCACGTGTGACACCTGTCAACGGGTAGGAAAGCGGGGGGACCACCCTAAGGCTAGGCTATTATCGATGCCTATTATAGGGGAGCCCTTTGCCCGCATAGCCGTTGACATTGTGGGTCCACTGGCCAGGGCTAGTCCATCCGGTAAGAAGTATGTTCTTACCGTGGTGGACTATGCCACCCGCTATCCAGAGGCAGTAGCGCTGTCTAACATAGAGGCAGAGACGGTTGCTGATGCCCTGGTTAGAATTTTTACTAGGGTCGGGTTCCCTAAGGAGATCCTCTCCGACCAGGGAACCCAATTCACCGCTGTGCTCACCCAGCAACTGTGGAAGGTGTGCGGCATTAAGCCGTTACTTAGCTCACCCTACCACCCACAGACTAACGGTCTCTGCGAGCGCTTTAACGGTACCCTCAAACAGATGCTGAGGACCTTTACAGACACTTGCAGAGACTGGGAGAGATTCCTGCCTCATCTATTATTTTCTTATAGAGAGGTGCCCCAGGAATCTACTGGGTTCTCCCCCTTTGAGTTGCTGTATGGGAGAAGGGTCCGCGGACCCCTAGATCTCATTAGAGGCCACTGGGAGGGGGAGACGGAGCAGGAAGGGATCCCCATAGTACCATATGTTTTGGAACTCCGGGACCGCATGGAGAAACTGTCCCTGATGGTAAGGGAGAATCTCCAGGCGGCCCAGGGGAGACAGAAGAGATGGTACGATCAGGGTGCCCGACAGCGGGTCTTCCAGGTTGGGCAAAAGGTATTGGTGCTTAAACCTGTGAAGGCCAACAAGATGCAGGCATCTTGGCAGGGCCCGTACAAGGTAGTGGCGCAGATCTGCGACACTACTTACTTGATAGCCAGCTGTGCAGATGAGAGGATCCAGCGGTCCTTTCATGTGAACATGCTGAAAGAGTACCAGGAGAGACCTGAGAATATTGCAGCAGTATGTGCCCCAGCTGCAGATGATTCTGAGAACTTACCCCTTCCAGATCTATTAGAAAGGGATTCCCAGACTGACCTTACTACCCTTGTACAGCTAGGGGACCGGTTGAACCCCACAGAAAGGGTACAGGCGCAGCAGTTGTTATGGGAGAAGCAGGCGACGTTCTCCCAGGAACCAGGTTATACCACCCTAGCTGTGCATAAGGTAGAGACCCCTGGACAGACCCCGTTACGACAGCCCCCCTACCGTATCCCTGAAGCAGTCCGTGAAGGGATGCGGAAGGAGATACAGGAGATGACCCAACTTGGGGTTATCGAGCACTCCGACAGCCCTTGGGCCTCGCCTGTAGTCCTGGTGCCAAAGAAAGATGGGACCACCCGGTTCTGTGTGGACTACAGGCGACTCAACGAGCGGACCACCACTGACGCCTACCCAATGCCCCGGGTAGACGAATTACTAGATCGTATTGCCAGGGGGCGATATCTGACCACCATAGACCTGTGTAAGGGCTACTGGCAGATCCCCCTGGCCGAGGATGCTATCCCCAAGTCGGCATTTGTCACCCCATTTGGCCTGTACCAATTTAAGGTCATGCCTTTTGGGATGAAAAATGCACCGGCTACCTTCCAACGGATGGTGGATAGACTCCTGGATGGCTTCCAAGAATTTGCCTGTGCATACTTGGACGACATTGCGATCTACAGTGGGTCCTGGGAGGAACACCTGGTACATGTAGGGGTAGTGCTGGATAAGATTAGGGCCGCTGGCCTGACATTGAAGCCAGAAAAGTGTCATCTAGGTATGGCTGAAGTACAGTACCTGGGTCACAGAGTGGGGTGTGGGAGCCAGAGACCGGAGCCAGCCAAGGTAGAGGCAGTGGCTAACTGGCCCACACCTACTACTAAGACCCAGGTATTGGCCTTCTTGGGGACGGCAGGGTACTACAGACGTTTTGTCCCTGACTACAGCGCTATCGCTAAGCCCCTGACAGATCTGACCAAGAAAAACTTGCCTAAGCAGGTCCTGTGGTCTCCGGCTTGTGAAGCTGCGTTCCAGGCACTGAAGCAGGCTCTTGTGAATGCCCCTGTCTTGGCTGCCCCAGTCCCTAACAAGCGCTTTCTCGTCCATACAGATGCTTCCATGTATGGACTGGGGGCTGTGCTGAGCCAAGTCGGGGAAGATGGAGGAGAGCACCCTGTCGCATATCTCAGCAGAAAGTTGTTACCCAGAGAAGTGAGTTATGCGGCAGTGGAGAAGGAGTGTTTGGCTTTGGTCTGGGCATTGAAAAAGTTAAGTCCCTACTTGTATGGGCAAGAGTTTTCCCTTGTGACTGATCACAACCCACTCGTTTGGCTTAACCGGGTCTCAGGAGACAATGGGAGACTGCTGAGATGGAGCTTGGCACTACAGCCCTACAATTTTACTATCAGCTACAGACCCGGTAAGCTAAACGGAAATGCAGATGGGTTGTCACGACAAACAGACGTTTCCATCACCTCGTAGTCCGGTCATCCCCAAGTTGACCCGCCACAGGGTCAAGCCGGGTCTGCCGGAGTGTCCCACAAGGAGGGAGCCGTGTGACAGAACCATCTGTCTGCTGGATTTTTGCCCGTTCGTCTGTTTGTCCCCGTTCGTATGAATGGCTGGTTTCTATAGCCCAGCCATTCGAATGACTCTTTTTCCCGAACAAAACCGCCGAACGAACGGCCACCCAAGTGAGGAGTGTGCTGCAGGTTAACGAAGTGATCACCATTATAACGTTGTGGTTAACCGCAGACACTTCTCAATTAAACCGAACTCAGGGTGGTCGTCGTTCGTATGTCGACCACGAGGCAGCGGCCATTTTAAATCATGCGAACGCTCAGCGGTGTTTGGCTCTATTTCTATGGAACTGAAAACGGACACTTTTTCTCGAACACCGCTGAAACAAGGGAACGCCTGGCTGCCTCCACGAAAGCATGCGAACACCGGCCGTTCGGGAGATTGAGAGCATACAAAAGACTTAACCCAGATAGCCCTCCCATGGAGTCATTCGTATACCGAAAGACTGTAAGAACTTTGACTCCATGGCGATTGAACTATGTGTGTGGGATCTGAGCGCTATTCGCTAATAATATGCACTCAGATCCAGGCTATCTGGGGACATGTAATACGAATGGGAAATGTTCAGTTTTCATGTAGTTATGCATTTTTATGTCTTTTATTATTTTATGTTTAAAATGGCGACTGTCCTTGTCCAGGAGTTAATTGAGTTACTTGGTAATTAACTCCAGGACAGAGGGGAGGGAATCAGAATGCACTGTGGGTAAGAGATGTGACTGTGTGTCAGAAATGTCCTTCTATCTGTCTGTAATTTAAGTCTTCCATCTGGTCCACTAGGGGAGTGTCCACCAGGTGGGAGACCTGCATAAATACGGGCAGGTAGCCCACAGTAAAACCAGATCTTATTTGACCCTCAATGCGGAGCTTCTGTCTCGTTATTGGGGGGATTTCTTCTTCACGGTTAGAGACTGCTGGATGGAACTTAAGCCGCTTTGGGGATATTATTGTTCGACAGTTCATAGCAGTTCGTATATTGCCGTTCGGGAGTTTGGAGCCGTTCGTGGATTTCGATCGGGAGATTGGCGCTTCCCCTGCATTTGGTTCGTGGGTTACAGAGTAAGCGAACAGAGACTGTACTGCAGCCGGGGAAGGTTTACTAAACGGCGGTTTGACTTAAAGACACGGGAGGTGTCTTAACACTGACCACAAAATAAGTTCCTTCTATAGCTATTCCAACTTGAATCCAGT